CAAACACATGATATTCTCCGTATCTTGATAAATCTCCTTGATCCTCTATATCCGCGATACCCTTCGTAATCCTCTTGATATATTATCCATTCAAACCCTTATATGTTCGAGTAGGACACGATGACAAATAGTGATACTTCAATTTTTAATTGAAAAATGGGCAGTAGGTGATAAATAGAGACCGGATATTTATGCATTAAAAATGCGAAATATCCACTATAATATGCAGGAAAAAATACCGAAATATGCACGAAAATATGCAAGAAAAATACAATTTATACCTTGAAATTTTGGCCTTGCGTTTCCCCTACGCTCACCACTGATCTTAATTACTATAATTCAAAAAAAGTTGATCTCAAAAAAGTAAACATAAATTGACAGAAACATGAAAATCAACTTTAAAACATATATTTTGTATATGTTTTCGGCTGTTTTAATTGTTGGTTTGTTATATAATCTGCTTGGAATTTACGTTGTGCAATATAATGATGGGGGTATTAAATTGTTCGATCAAGAATATCTGAACAAAACTTTTCCTTATGTTATGCTGAAATTTGTATCAAAATTAAAAATATTTCAATAAATTTATTGGCGGTGTCCGGAAAGTTGGGCTCTGGAAAATTGGGCTCCAAAATTTTTCGGAAATTTGTGCTCCAGCGGAAATTTGGGCTCCATATGAAAGAAATGGAAAATTGGGCTCCAATCTTTTAGGCGCGAGAAGGTCGGCATTTCAAAGCTGAAAAACAGTAAAAAGGGATAGTTTTTATGTTACTGTTGTAGAACCTAGCGACCGATGACTCATGCAAGGCGCGTGCCACAAAAATCCGCGCGAAGCGCGGATTTTTGCACAAGCGCCTTGCCGATGCCCATAGGTTTAAGTTATTTGATTTTGTGTTATTTTCGTATAAATAAAGAAGTTCACTCTGACGCCCATAATTCCCCGCACCTAAAATTTTAGAGCCCAATTTTCCATTTCTTTCACATAGAGCCCAAATTTCCGCTGGAGCCCAATTTTCCAGAGCCCAAAGTTCAGGGACTAATTATTTGCATACTTAAAATGAGGGTGACGGGTGCCTTTCTTTGTAAATATGTAAAAAATGGTGGAGCCCAATTTTCCAGAGCCCAAATGATATTATGTATACCTTCATAGTCGATTTTGGTGCATCCGACTCAGCTCGACGAGCTTTATACATACCCTTTGATAGACTGACCATTTTTTTACATATTTACAGAAAAAGGCACCCGACACACTCATTTTCAGTAGTGCCACTTTATTATTTTTTTGTAGGAGGATTTCTTCTCATTGATCTTTAGCCTCTTTATGATAATTCCATACATTATAATTTTTATTTGTGGATTCAAAATGGTCTACTATGTTAATTCACATACTGGATTTGATCAAAATTTGAAGAGATTGCTTAGGCAATTGACAAAAACTTTGATAATTTTGGTATATAATTTACGGGTACAGCCCAAATAGGCGTGCGGCCATTACGCCGCTTGGCTATAACTAGCTTCAACATTTCCAAATCTTACCATATTTAGTATCAAACGATTCCTCTAATCGAACTAAAGAGATTGGTACCGAAATTGATAAGATCTAGAAATCTACCAGCAAGTTATGGCTTTGCGCCGTTATGGCCCGCGCCGACTTGGGGCGTGTCCCATAATTTACTTTTTAATTTAATTTTAATTAAATTTTAGACAATTATTCCATCTATGAATCAATTGTTTGTTTTATTAATAATGTTTTTTAAATATACGGATACAGACGATACAACTAAAGTAAATCATATGAATCTAGTTGCTATACTTTATGCAATGTTCACTCATTTTACACCCGTTTTTAACCCAATTGTTTGCATATTAACTAATAAGCCGTACAAAGAAGCTGTTTTAAATCGTTTAAGAATACACCCACAACAGGGGTGGACCTAGCTGGCAAAATACGAGACACGATATTTCACGAGATACGAGACTAAACCCCACCCCTGATTCACAATGTTTATATTTGACTGATTAATTTGAACGTTTAATTAAGACTAAAATTTGTTTTAAATTAAAATTCTCGTCTCTATAATTTTATAAATGTTTGAAAAATTTTCATTTTTCGTAATTATTCTCTTTTTGTTGTTTATATTGTATGCTCATTAAAGTAACTTTTAAGTAAACAAAGTTATATTTCATGTAATAATATCACACGATTTTTATTAAAAAACTTTTCTCGAAAATTGTATTTTTAAAAGTTATTAGTGTGAAACATTTTAATAAAAAATTAAACATTAATTTTACTTTTTTTTAAACTTTTAAACTTCAAAAATTAATTAAAAAATAAAAAAAATGTCCATGGATATACTTGATATTTTATTTAAATTTGATTATTTTGTTTGTTTATTACTTGGTTATCCTCTAAACATTATTCTGATTATTTTAATTATTTTTAAAACACCAAAAGAAATGGAAACACACAGCAGAATTCTGATACAAAATTGTGTTTTGGATATTATAACGTTGACTGTTCAAATGTTTGCACAAACGGTAAATGAAAAAATAGACATGTTACAACCGGGGGTTGTCCGGTTATGTCCGAGGGTTGTCTAACGTAGATGTGCACAAGAATAACAGTTTATCCAATGTAGAAATGTACAATGAAAGCGACTCGCCCCGCTAGTATGATCCCGCTAGACTGACACTTTCACTTGCTTTTATACTATAGAGAAGAGATCGAGCTGGACCAGGACCAAGGCCTGGGTTTTTCCTGTACCCAGAGTCCAGGTCCAGGCATTTTTTGACCTTCCTGGGTTTTTCCTGGACTACAGGCCCAGGATCCGGTTCAGGTCAAGAAATAAACTCCAGAGTCCAGGAACAGGTCCAATAGAGACATATCACTACACAACGGAGCAGTTCAACTGAGTCCCAACTCAACTGAGTCCCGGCCCTATAACTCAGCAAGGAATGGTCACTTTTTAATTTTTTTGGTATCATTGGATAGAGAATCAAAAGCTCTACAATATATCAAAAAATCAGAATTTTTAACCGATTGATAAAAAAGTTATGATCTAAAAGCTAACTTTTTCAAAAAAATCTGATTTTTCGGCACTTTATCGATCATAACTTTTTTACCAGTCGGGCAGGAATTTTGATTTTTTGGTATATTGTAGCCTATTTAATGCCCTATCCAATGGTACCAAGAGTAACAAAAAATGACCATCCCTTCATAAGTTATAGGGTCCGGGACTCAATTGAGTCGGGACTCAATTGAGGTGTACCGCTACACAACACAAATCCAAAATTAAATTAAAAATTAAATCAGAAATAAACCTAATAATAAAAATCCTGAATTAAATTTAAATATTAAGTATTTTATAAATGACAGCAATTCAAATTCATTTTTAATTTTTTTCAACGGCATATTTTTTGAATATATGAAAAATAATTTTAACAAAACTATTTACAATATTTTTATAATTATTGGAACCTTTATTAACTTTATAAATTTGTATGGATTGTGTGCCCAATTTGTTTTTAGATATTTAGTTCTGAACAGGTAAAACATTGATATTTTAATCAGAATTAAATCAAAACTAGAGTAAGAGCGAGGTAAAAGTTTAATTCCAGGCAGGCTACGATCCTGCGACCTTCTGGCAGTTATTGCTAGGCGCTTTCGCTCACCGCGTACAGGTGCTCTACCAACTGAGCTACCGGGACGCTGCTTTCACCATCTCTTTTATTAGATCCTAAACCCCCCCCCCTAAATGCCAGCTAGCCAGCTAGATCTTTCTCTTCCATACAATAGTTTATCTCAAGTTCTGAATTAAGTAATAGACTAACTTTCCCTCGTATTAATTTAGCCTTCTAATTGGTGGATTCGTCACACCCCACAAGTGTGGATATATATTGTAGTGATGTTCGGGTGAAGAAAAAACACACAGGAGTCGGAATTGGGAGGCCAAAGACTCGGGAAATTTTCCCGAATCGGGAGTCGTGATATCCGAACATCACTAATATATTGTGACCCCAAGAGTGGTTCGCCACTCTAGCCGTCTAGCCCATAATCAAAGAGAGATTAGGTAACCATATATCCTTTAATAACTGCCCTGTGTAATTATTGTTTCGACCTTCCGCTAGAGGGTGTAATTAATCGAGGGAGGGATACTAGGTTTGTAATTTGAACGTGGTATAGGGCATGGGGAGGTAATTATTGTTTCAATCCATCGCTGGATGGGGTAATTAATGGAAGTGGGGTATTATTTGAGGAGAGGGGGGGCAATTAATACAGGTTATACTACGATAATTATAAATACCGAAATTAACAGAAACATGAAAATTGACTTTAAAACCTATTTATTGTATATGTTTTCAACTGTTCTAATTATTGGTTTGTTTTATAATCTGATCTGGTTTAACTATGCTATGCACTTTATTGATGGGGGTATTAAACTGTTTGAAGAAGAATATTTAAACGAAACACTGCCGTTTGTTACAACGAAATTCGAGGTAACAGAATTAGTCTACATAATATATATTTTAAATTATTTTAAATTATTATGGTTGTGATTTTTATGCAAATGCATATTTTTTTTGGCAAACTTGTCATGATGTTAATGCAAATAAACACTGTTTCCGAATGTTTTGAAAACTCTAGAGGGGGTTTCTATTCGCATATAATGCATATTTTTGCATATTTCGGACTTTGCTGCATAATGCATATTTTAATGCATATTTTGAGGTTTTTGGAGAAAATATTGCGAAAATTGCCCAAAATCCTGCCAAAATTGTGAAAATGTTGTAGAAATCTAGGAAAAATTCTAAATTAAATTTTTTTGTCTATTGGGCGCAAATCTATTCTAAATCCCGATCCCGACAAGGGCCAATCCTGATCCTGTGTTGGGATTCGGGATCGGTATAACCATTCCGCTAAACTCCCCGATCCGCTGAACTCTAATCTCTACTTGTACGATGAGACTTTTTTTTGGAAGGCCTCAATATATTCCTGAACATTTTCCGAGTACCCTCCCCTTTCGTCCCTATTATATGTTTTTTTTCAGTATTATTCTCTACACTTAAACCTTTCTGCAGTACTACTTGCATTTTTTATAATTTCTGTTTGTGGGTTTAAAATGGTCCATTATGTTAATTTACATACTGGATTAAGTCAAAATATGAAGAGATTGCTTAAACAATTGACAAAAACTTTGATAATTTTGGTATATATTCATTTTACAAATCTGAGTCTTGTTATAGTGTATATCAGGGAACGTGCCGTCCCGATTTCTTATTAGACCTCGATATCCCTCCATTCCCCAATATCCTCTTATTCCCCACTTAGGCATCCCTAATCCTTCGGTACATCCATGTTAATCCCTAAATACTCTTTAGGGATTACCTGTTTGCATTGGCACTAGAATGTTTAGAGAATAGCCTCCTTCCTTACCTCAGCCTCTGCACTGACCCCCGCCATTGACTAACAAAAATCTTGAAATTCCCAAAAATTCCCGAAAATCGGGAATTTCCCGTCGTTTTTTGGATGGGAATTCCCGATTCCCTGGTGTATATTGAGAGTCAACTATGTTTAATTATAAATTTCAGACAATTATTCCATTTATGAATCAACTTATAGTTTTTGTACATGGCATACTTTTTGCAAAACCAAACAATTATTATGGAGAATATAACCTAATTTACATAATACTCTTAATTATTACTCATTTTACACCCGTTTTTAACCCAATTGTTTGTATAATAACTAATAAGCCGTACAAAGAAGCTGTTTTTAATCGTTTACAAATATACCCACAATGATTGATGTTTTTGTTTGACCGATTTATTCGAACCTGAAACTTGTCCTTTGCTTATATAATAAAAGAAAAAGCTGTAAAAATTCATTATTATCCGAACACCAAAAAGAAAAAGCTTTTTCTTATCTCCTCCCAACTAAAACTTCCACATTTTTTATTAAATAAAGACTTTGTTAATAGTTTGTTTTAATCGTTCTTCATTAGTGTCGGGAACCGGACTCCCAGGGTGTCTCTCGCCTTCTGGAGACCCAACCCTGGGAGGGCCCCCAACATTTCCTAACATCTATAATTTGCGGATGGAACAATTCCGGACACAATTGCGGATACGGAATTTTCAAAAATAATGATTTTTTAAAAATTTTCAGTGCCGCATCATTTTAGCACTGGTTCGGAAACCGTCAGAAGTCTGAAACTGACAGCCGGGACTAAAAAACGTGATATCATTTCAACCATTTTTAAAATTAAAAAAATTTTTAATCCGCAAAAGTTAAATCCGGGATTGTCTACCGCAATCTTCGCATCCGCACGTGTGTATCCGCAATTGTCGCAACTCCTCATAAACTTATGATCGGACTCATAAACCTTCATTGGACTCATAACTTTATCGGACTACTAAACTAGACTAGGGCCAAAATCAGTCCCAAAGTTTTTGACGCCTGCAACGCCTAAAGACAGTTGCGAAAATGCCAAGAAATTTTTAAAGTATTATGAAATAATTTATTTATTTATTTAATAAGCCCCCCTTATTATTGCACTTTTATAAATGACGATATAAAAAATGGCGGCGATTTGCTTAAAGAAAATTTTTCTTTTAAAAAATATTTTTTTTATTTGGCATTTTTGCACTGAATCATGCGTCTATTTCATAATGCCGACAAAAAGAATTTTTTAATTTTTTTTTCGGCAATTACATCATTATAAAAAAATATTATTTAAAAAAAGTGCAAATTAAACTGAATAAATAGCCGGTAAAATTAATTATTAACCCATTACTAAATTTAAAAAAATATTTCTTCAAAGCATGTTTAAAAATTTATTTTTTCCTTTTCTTTCTCTCTTAATTTTTTACATTTCTACGGGATATTCTCAAGCTATTAAGGATTATAGTTATGCTGAATTTCCGGCAAAATCTACTGAGTTTGTTTTTTTATTTTTTGTTTAGAGGGCATTCAGGGGTAGACATATTAAGGCTAACGGGTTCGGATCTGTGAAAAGACTGGATATCCGAAATTTTTGGTTCTGACATCGAATCTCGATTCCATATCAGATCTCGAAACTCGGTTATATCGTATTTCCTAGAGTCAGCTAACCTTAGTAGACAATAGAGATCGGTCTTGATCTGGAGCCAGTCTGGATTTTTCCTGGATCCATATCAAGAATCCTGTCCAGGTTACTAACCTAAATCCGGATCCAGATCCAGGATTTTTGAAAATATCGATCCCTAGTAAACGATACCTAAAATGGCATAGCATATACCATTCAAATTTCTGTCTCTAATAGAAGCAGTCTAATAGAAGCACTGCTCTGGTTAAGATACTTTCGGGTGAGTACGATACTCTATAATAAAATATACTTTTTGTTTAATATCACTCTAGGCGTTGGAAAGCTCGCTATCGGCTCGCGCGTTACTAGAAATGTTTAAAGCTGGCAGCCTTCGGCCCACCAAACTCGTCGGCCTCGGTGGACCTTTGCTCTGCCTTTTAGAGGGTTTCCCTCTCTAATACAGCAAGGAAACCTGCCGAACCGATTCCCAGAAATTGATAATTTAATTTTAAATGTAGGTAGGTCCTACAAGCATTTACCGACCTCCAAGTTTTTTTAAATTAAATTTAAAGTATAATTAATTTTCAGTCCCGAATACCCCGAAGGATATTTAAAATTAAAAACATTGAAAATCAACAAAAGCAATGAAACCGATAAAATCCATATGGAGTTAATTATCGAGTTTAAAGATTTTGTTGAAATTCTTTTGTCAAATGACAAATATAAAAACAAGAAGACTTATCCTGTTGAAGAGGCGGAAGATATTGAAAATGGGAAAAAGGAAATAAAAATTAATGACGTTTTTGATAAAGATTACTTGAATGGAATTGCTATTGCAGGAAAATACCATGATGAAAAAATGTTTATTGTAAAAATTTTCTTTTTGTATAATTTAAAGCAGGGTTGCCAACAGAGGATCAGAACTGTGTCAAAATTTCAATTTTCGACTTTCATTTTTGACGTTTTCGTAAACACTTGATATCCCTCTTATTCGCCTGATATCATATAACATCCTCCTTAGTCTACTCAAATCCCCCTAAATAATATTATCATTGATTTTCCACCCGAGCGTGGAGTGGCTCCGAAAATCGCTGGCTACGGGTTTTAAAAGACCGGAGCTAGGATATATGGATATATCGCCTATATCACCCGAATATATGGATATATCAATTAACCACTGATATCTAAATTAATCTTACACTTTTAAGAGTGATATAGGTGGATGAGATATCACGGGCATCAAGTGGTAAGTAGAATATCAAAGGAATGAAGATTTAAAGTGATCTAGGATGCAGATTTAATTGGTCTCTAATCAACCCCCTAATCCTTAACCTTTTGCACTAGCTAAAGGAGAGAGATAGCTCTAGCCCAGCGGTTTACTAAAATTTGGCATTCTCTAATTTTTTAAACAAAAAAAAACAATTTTTATAGACAAAAGTAGTAATAAACCCTCTCTTCGTTCCACAACAAAATCTTGTGCCAATCCCATTAGAGAATAAAGGAGAGGATTTATTAACAAAAGTAAAATGGTATACTACAAATTGGGAAGGGAAAGAATCAACTTTTGTAAAAATTTGTATTCAATTTAAAAATGGAGGAGAATATTTAATTGCTGTATTAACTAATGGACATTATATTAATGGCTATCATCATTTCCAATTTTTTGTTAAAATTCAAAATGGTGAAGGGAAAAAATGTTTTTTTAAACATTTTAAGAATATGTCCGAGGAGGATTTGGAAATTTTAAAAGATTATAGAAAAGAAATGGAAATTGTAATTGTTCCAAAAAATGTGATTGAAGATAAAAAACGGGGAATTGAAAATTTTGGTTTGTTAATAGATATTTAAACGTTAATTTAGGGTTGAGCCTCGATCCTTTGAGGCAGGGGTCGAAATGCCTGAAATCGGAACTGTCGGAAATTGGAGATGGTCAAACTTTGGAAGAAATCAGAATTCCAATCGGATTCTGATTTTCCAATCGAATTCTGATTTGAGGTCGCAAATTTTGTAGTCGGAGTCAGGGGTGAGCGTCATGGCGTTTGGCTCCATTTATGGCGTTTTGCATTTGGCGTGTTTCAAAAATTTGAAAAATTGGCGTTTTACGTTTGGCGTGCCACGCGAAAATTTTGGTCGGATTTTCGAACGCGTAATCAGAGGAGGGGCTAAAAGTTTCGGTGTTAGTGTCTTTCGTGGTGGAGACTTTCGGGGTCAGGGTTTTAGCCAAAAAATGTTCGGGGTTGGACAGATATCGGTGCTAATAGAAATATCGGGGTTCCTCCTAACAAGAGGACCTAATTCTCAAAAGTCCATTCATCCAAAATCCCTCCCAAAAGTTCCCTCCGATGACTCCCCGCCGAGTATCAAATACAAAACTTATTTCACTTTTCCTTTAAGCACACAACGAAAATCAACATAAAAATTTTGTTAAAAGTACTGCATTAAATGACTTTTTCCACAAAAATACTCATTATGATTACGAGAAAAAGCAATTCAACTTTTACAAAAAAATTCTTGGGTTTCCAATAATTGAGCCTTCTTTTGAATACAAAACTTATCAAATTGAAGGCTGAAGAGAGAAAATAAAAGAAGTATAAAATTAAAAGAATTAAAAGTTACAAAACAATGAAAACCTAAAATATTTATTTTCAAATATTATCTTTAATAGTCCTTAGCTGTTATGGGAAATTTCGAGTTTAACTTATGTAAGCCTCTAAAGCATTCAAAACGCTTAGGTGGGTGCCAGGGGTGAGCGCATTGCGTTCTGCGTGAAAATTTAGCCTTGCGTTTCTCACAATTGCCTCTTGCGCACAGGCCCGTACTACCTATAAGAACTTGGTTTGTATTAGGCAAGAAGAAAATATACCAAGTATTGTATACGATGTTCATGCTGTGGAAAAATTCATTGGATGGGGAGATGGAATTGAACCATCATGGAATGAGCCCAGACCGAAGCACAACCGAGGGTGCCACCATCCAACCCGATGATGAGTTATTTATTTTCAATTATATTCTTTCTGCAAGTGCGGACACAACACCACGCCTCTTATAGACCCAAATTATCGCTCGGCAAGGGTTAAATAACCTGGTCCCAGATTCTTATAGTACCAAATCTACGACACATTCTTATATTACGGGCCCTGGTGGGGTTAAACTATCTAAAAGTACTAATGCCGTTTCCCCCACCTCAGTTAACTTTTTTATTCACGTAACTTATAGCCTAGCAAGCAAAATCTTTTGAAATTCGAAAAAGCTAATTGGACTTATCGGGCTTTATCTGTCTTGAATTTTTTTCACATTTTCTTCGGTATTTTTAAAAATTTACAAAAATCTTTTAACGAAATTTAGTTTTTAGAATAAAAATGTTTTTAAATTTTTTGTGTATTAAACTATTCGAGTAGGGTAATTTCAACTGAGTCACGGCTCGTATAATTCAAGAAGGGGGCTTAGAGTTGTTTCGAAATTTCAATTCTCGAGGCTTTTTTGGAACTTAAGCAGTTTAAGGGCACACCCCACATATTCGCAAGCTCAAAATAGGCTGAAATTGGTCAACCAAACCTATGGAAGACGGCGAGGAACCATCACTTTTTGCGGGGTTTTGTGGCACTCGCTTCGCGGGGAGTCAACAATTGCTTGGATTAAAATCAACTCCATAAACATTGTTGTCCTGCGGATAAATCGTGACCGGACAATCCGTCAGTGGACAATCCGGCAGTGGAAAATCCGTCAGTGGACAATCCGTCAGTAAATAAATTCGTAATTTCTACCCATATCCAAAATACCGCGGCCAAAAATTTCCATTTTTTCGTGAATGAGGATATAAGAGATATCGAAAATTTTGAGAATAATGAGCAAATCGGCAGATTTAGGTGGATTAAAAAGATATCAGTGGATTTGAAAGATATTGGACAATTTGGTCTAAGTAAGCGAATGTCGATGACTTAGAAGGATATAGGAGATTAGGATGGATTAGATTTGCATGATTAACGTGTGGGATTATATTGGATTTGGATGAATATCGTGGGATTATGAGAAATCTATGAATAAGAGAGATTGTTTTTAAATTGATATTATCGAACAACCTCAAAATCCTCTTAACCCGCCTATATCCCTTGATATACCACTCAATCCCCGAAATCCATCTTGATCTTCCAAATTCCTCGATAAGCACCATAATACTAAAAATCTCTTATATTCCCCTTAATCCCACTTTATCTTTGAAATTCCCAATATCTTACAAATCCACTGATATCCTTTTAATCTAGCTAAATCTGCCGATTTGCTCATTATTCTCAAAATTTTCGATATCTATTATAAACTCACACACGAAAAAATGGAAATTTTTGGCCGCGGTATTTTGGATATGGGTAGGAATTACCAATTTGTTCACTGACGGATTGTCCGACCTCTGACGGATTGTCCACTGACGGATATTCCACTGCCGGATTGTCCACTGACGGATTGTCCGGGAGCCGGATAAATGGGGGTTATTGGCGAGTAAACGAGTTACCACTTGTGGGTATCTTGAGAATAAATGTTGACTTTTCGGCTATATTATACCCATAAATCATTATTGTAACATTTTTCATATAATTTAAGTAATTAATATTTACAATAGAAATTTAAAAGAAATTTTTTAAATTAAAGCACTTGAAAAATTTAAAATTAAGTTAAATATTATTTTTAAAGTCCATCCAAAACATTACGTGGGGCTTCCCATTTAGTGTCATATCCATTCCACCTTGTTGAATTTGAGGGAGCAATAAATATTCGACTGCCTTTGAGAAAAAAGGAAATAATGCCTAAATAAGCTGTTCTGGGTACACCTGCCTAAAATTAAAAAAATTTTTGCGGACAAAACTAGCGGACAATCCGCTAATAATTTTGCGGACAATCCGCAATTTTCTGATAAAAAATATTTCTAGCGGACAAACACCAAAAAATTAAATGAACTTTTTGCGGACAAATCCACTTATTTTTAACAAAAAATTTTTTGCGGACAAAATCTGCGGACAACTCCATAAAAAATATTTTGCGGACAATCCGCAAATTTCCAATTAAAAAACCTTTGTATCAGCCATTATTCCAATTTTTCTAGCAATATTTAAAAAATTATCCATAGACTCGTATTCTATTCTAAATTCATTTTGACCATTTTCTTCAACATTTTTCATCAAAATTTCATTTAAAGAAGCATTTTTAATTGAATAAACTTTTTTCAAAAATGAAGAATCGTATTTTTGTTTTAATAAATAACTCAAGTCTAACTGGTTGAAATTAGTTGGTTTTTGATTGAGAAATATCCTTTTTAAATGGCGATTGAAGAATAAACCCCTGAAAATTGAAAGAATTTTTGCGGACGATTTTTGCGGATGTCCGCAAAAATTTTGCGGACGAAAAAATTTTTTTGCGGACGAAAAAAAATTTTTTTTGCGGACAAAATTTTATTTATGCGGATAAAATTTTTTTTGCGGATAGGGACGTAAAAAGACGAAAATTTTAATTTTAAAATTTTTTTAAAGAAAACTAACCCGCTAGCCCCCTTCTGTCCAAATTCAGTCATTCCAGTTCTTGATAATTCCGGCCTAATACAGGATCTATTTTTGCGTTGTGCAGGCTCTCTTATAAAATCATCCCAAAAACCAGGGGGCCATTTGGGGCCAATTTCTTGCCAAAAATCTCTAAAAATGATTTAAAAATTGAAAAAAAATTTTTTGGATCAAAAAATTTTGGGATTTGGGGTTTTTTCCAATTTTGGGCCCAAACTATAACAAGAATTGAATTTTAGAACACGCAAATTTATTTTAAATTTAATTAAAAAATATCAAATTCCAATGTCTATCCTGCGGAGCTATCTAAAAAAAGAACCAAATATGCCTTCGATTTTTGGTCTAAAAAATATCCTAACAATTAGTCGACTTGAGGCCAAGTATTGGAAAGCTCGTTATCCTGATCAGAGCTGGGCGAAAATTTAAATTACATTTTTATTTTTTTGAGAATTTCCAGGGTTTTAGTTTCATATATTGATGATTTTATTTTTTCGTCTCGTTGAGGGCAAAATTTTATTTTCGCCCAGCTCAAATTCTAATGTTCACCTAATATTTTGTTCTGAAATAAAAAATTTTGGTGACCTTTTTCTAAAAAATTTTGGTATTCCCCCAGCCTAAAAATTAACCAAAAATTAACCCAAAACTTAAGATTCAATCTATTAATGCTCCAAAAATGGCAATCCCGGAGAGTTGTGGTTTCTTCGAAAAAAAGGTAATATTGAAGAGTACAGACCCCATTTTTTCCTCCCTATTTTTCCCCCTATATTTTTACAAAATGGTCAGCCTTTTTCATTCCTTCCATCCAATATGCCTTCCTAATTTTTGCCTAAATCAAACAAAAAGGATTATTTTTTGGTATTTACAAGTATGAGTTTTGAGAAGGCTCATTTTCTCTATTAAAACGGGAAATAAAACATCAAAATTAATCCTTTTTGTTTGATTTAGGCAAAAATTAGAAAGGCAAATTGGATGGAAGGAAGGAAAAAGTCTGACCATTTTGTAAAAATATAGGGGGAAAAATAGGGAGGAAAAAATGGGGTCTGTACTCTTCAATATTACCAAAAAAAATTTTAAAAATAAGAAAAAGGGTTTTTCTAGGGTAAAAAATGATATACGAAATTCGGGTTCAGGGTTCGAAATTTGGTTCAGGTTTCAACTTTTTCAAAATCCGAACTCAGATTCGTAATCAGCATATCTTTTTACCCTAGAAAAAACCTTTTCCTTATTTTTAAAAATTTTTTCGATGAAACCCCAATTTTCCGGGATTGCCCCAAAAATAATCAAATTTTAATCAAAAAACCTGGTCATCATCCATCCTAGCCCAGCAAAAAAGTCAGACCTATACAACAATTCATTGGCTGTTTGATCAATAAATTCGGGCACTCCATTATCATTCCAAGCGGACACACAAAAAAGTGTTTTGTCCAACTCTAGAAGAGGTCTAGTAGCCAAAAAATAATCAAAAAAGTCTGGGGCGACAGTTAAATCGTCTGAAAAAATTTTTTTGAAGAAAATTTAAAAATAAAAAAACCTTCGGTAATTATAACAGAAGAGTAACCCATTTTATCAAAAATGTGGCCCAAAGCCAATTTATAATGCCTAGAAATTTTGTAATACACGGCAAATTGTCGATGCTCTTTAGGTACTTTTATTCTGGCGGTTTCGCTGCTTATATGCTGAAAAATTGAAAATTTTTTGGTAGACTAGAAAATTAATTTTAAAAAAATAAGAAAGGCACAGGATTCGAACCATCGACCCCATCCCCCACAAATCTAAAACAGTACCAACTACACCAAAATAGCAAAAAACAGAAATTTTTCAGTAAAAAAGAACAGAAAATCAATTTAAAAAAATAAAAATAATTCAGATTATAGTCAAAAAAATATTGAAAATGTTTTTTTGACTTAATTGAACACAGAAAAATGTAAGGACTGCAAGGGATTCGAACCCCCAACCCTTCCCCCCACAAACCCAAACACTACCAACTACACCAAAACACTCATTACGTAATTTAAAAAATAAAACCAATCCAATTTATAATCAAAAAAATATTAAAAATGTTGTTTTGGCTTAATTAAACATTTAGAAAAAATAAGCAAGTCAAGGGATTCGAACCCCCACACCACTCCCCCCACAAACGCAAAACACTACCAACTAAACCAAAACAACAATTAACAAAAATATTTATTTAAAGCTTTTAAATCAAATTTAAACCTTAATATACTGCACATTCTCCCCAAATTCCACCACTACCGATTTAATTTGTGTATTATCACAATCTTGACTGACAATAATTGGAAATTGATTTATATCCTTTCTAAAACTAAAAAACAAAAATTTTCGAAAAATCGAAGGGAAACCTAATTAATTTCTTCAAGTGTTCCCTCAAAGCAACAGGTCTATTACAGGCAAAGACAACAATCGGGATGGGTTCTACCCACGGTTTTAAAGGCAAATCTAAAATTTTTTTAATTTGAGCATGGGGATGTCTAGCAAATTTTCTGTCCACTTCAAGCTGTAAATCTTCCAATTCTTGCCTTTCTTGAATTAACGAATTTTCGAATTTATTCAATTTTTCATTTAATTGCTTAAATTCTGAAGAATCCAAGGATGTCTGAGGGGGAAAATTTTTTTTTGGTTAAAAATATTTTTTAAACACCTTTGGGACTTGTAAAGAATTGTGAATAACAAGTATAAAAGAACAAAAAAATCCAAATGTCAAAATTATTAATAATCGCCTTTCAATCCTTCGATTCATCCAACATTCTAAAAATTGTTAATTTGATTGGTAAAACGTGGTTAAAGAATAAAAAATATAAATAAGAAAACGAAAATGGAAACGGAAAAAATAAAACTCATACTCAAATGGAAGAAATGACAGAATGCCAAAATTTGTGCCAAAAAGATTTTTTCTAATTTTCTAAATTTCCTCGGTAAAAAGCTCAATCTAAATGGTTCTGTTTTGGAAGTTGCTCAAACTACATATTAGATTAATTCCTAAAACCTTTCTCAAAAATATTTTATGAAAATTGTTGCACCGATAAGGGTTCGGCACATCAACACATCCAAACACATGTTTTTCTTGCCTAAAAAGATGTGGGGGAGATAAAATATGTATCAGTATAAAAATACTCAAAATGGTCCACTTTTGCATTTTTTCCCGGATTTCTAGACCTCTGAAAATCGAAAACTATAGGGGGAGTAAGCTGATTTTTGCGAAAACCTTATGTAGGGGATAAAAATAAATGGTCATAACATTGTCAAATCTTGTCAGATTTCGTTGATTTTGGTGTCATTCGACTCAGCTCGATTAACTATTTCGAGTGAGGTATATTTGTATAATCGAATTTTTTGCCCAAAAAATCAGCTTACTCCCCCTATGGTTTTCAATTTTCAGGGGGTCTATATCTCGGTCCACAGATGTCGAGCCGATAACAACAGGCAAAATATGAGTTTAGTCTATTTGGCAAGTTATGAAGGAGAGCATAAAATTATAATTTCTAAACAACTCAATAATTCTTAAATTCTTTATCCAAAAACAGAAAAAATTATTTCCTTTATTTTTAACATTTTTTTTCTTGTGTTTTTCTTTATTTAACGCATGAAGAGAATCTTTCGATTAACCTCATTTCTTAAGGTCTCCAATTATAATCAACATTTACTCGACAAACATAGCGCTTATATTCTAATGTGTTATTATAATATTGCTTTATTGATGGATTTATCCAACCACCAAATTTATATTTATTAGAATTGTAATAATCGCTAAAATTGTTTATTTTGTCATAATGAGCATACCACATTGGAATCCCATTATATTTTTGGGCATTTCCTGTAATCTCCTTCCATTGATTTGCTGAAGAATAAATACCAAATGGTTGATTTTTTTCATTCAAGGTGTTGATCAGCTCCTTTTAATTACAAATTTTTAAGAAAATTATGGGAAACAATGCCTCAATAAATTCCAAATTCTTGGTTTTGTCTTTATACCAATGGCTCTTATCCTTACGCTCTTCAATATCCAACCAAACTTTTCCAAATCTTGCATTATTATTTTCTAATTCATTGAGTGTTTGAATAATTGTTCCTCTTAAATAGAACTTGATAATAATAATAAAAACAAGAACTTAATAAGCTGTTCCTTATTTTGAGGATGGAAGAAATAACAAAGAAAAAGTAATAACCAAACTAATCTTATTTAACGCCTACTAAATTGTAATAATCACGACAATTAGTAGAAGGGAGAGCGAATCAAGCAACAGAGCGCATTTTCTCCTAGCCAACGAACGAATAATTATTAGTTTTCCTACATATTCATCAACCTACCTGTTCTTCAACCATATTAATATTCCCGCCCGTATCCCAGGATTGGCCAGACTGTGATTGCCTTGCCTGTGAGCCGCACAACCAGGGGGACCATTTTACCTTATTTATAGGGCATTTGCCTTATTTTTGAACTTTTCGCCGTATTTTTTCCCTATTTTTTCATTTGCCATATTTTACCCTATTTTTAACATTTCGTTATATTTTTATAGTTTTTTGGGATTTTGTAAAAAAAATGGTAAACATGAAGGATTTCTGACTTTCTGGCCTCCAAAATTCTTAAAATTTTCGCCTGAGGCGCTAAAAAATGAAGAAATCCGGCTTCTTGACCTTCCAAAATTTTAAAAATTTTTGCCTGCGGCGCCGAATGGGGGGAGGTTACTAGCTTATTATTATAGATTGGCACGCACAGGATGAAGTAGGGATTTTATTCAGTCATTTGTAAGATAATAGTTCGAAATTAATCAGCATTTTAGGGTTATTTTCGACTTAAAGCAAGTTTTCTGATGAATCAACTCCTTGAGCATTTTTTAGTTAAGAATTTGAAACTAGCAAGAGAAGCGGAACGAAGGCCAAATTACTTAATTCCCTTGTATCCATTAAACTTAATTCTGATATTATTGTACTCAGGCATATGATCTCCTTATTTCTAATCCCGTTTTGCTCAATTTAGTAAAACTAGTGAAAAAAAATTCAAAATAAAGCTTTTTATTTGAAATTTTAATTAATTTTAAGCTTTTAAAATATTGCCTTATTTTTTGCCCTATTTTTGACCTTTTTCGCCCTATTTTTGCCACATTTTTGAGTGGCTGCGCCCTATTTTAGTAGTTTGGAGATGGTCACCCTGCGCACAACCCAATCCCCCTTAGCATCATCCATCATAATTTCAAGGGAACCTCGGACCCATACTTTCACTCTCACCTTGTTTATAAAGCTTTTAAGCGTCTAACGCTTACTAGTCAGGGATTTAGGATTCAGAGCATCCTAATGTATTTCAGTCGGTAGAGGACTTGCAAGTGTTGAAGTGAAAGAAAACGACTAGCAAGAACTTAAACAATTTCATAGGTTTGATATTTCTTCTTCTACATAAAATTAAATCAAAAATTTTACCTAGCATTATCACAAATAACATGTTCCACCGATTTTGGTTTAACACAAGGCCAAATATAAATATCTACTTCGTTAATACCCGCTGCCCAAGCATTTTTTATATTAGCAACAGAATTATTATCAAAGTGACCATTTGAACGACTAGCACGCACAATAACAAATTTTACTGATAATTTTTCTTTCAAACATTTAAATTTGTCAATGCTTGTTAATTCAAATAGATCAACACCTTCTTCACCATTTAGAGTTTTTGAACTCGCAATGTTACTAGCTTGATTTGGTTGTAAAACATTTAAACTTTTATTAGCTTGGCTGTTTGTCGCTTTCAATAAATTTATTTTATCTATATAATATCTTTATGTTAATTTTTTTCATTTCAAAAACCTAAAGTTGATATATGCTGCTCTATACAAATACCGTTTTGGCAAATAAAATTTCTTGATCCACATTCAATTGTATCATCACACTCAATTGTCCCATTTGGAACACATAGAGAAAGGTTTAACTGAATTTAAATTATACAGTTATTATGTTGGTACATATTACCACCTTAGTCCTCATTTTTTAATTAGCATTAGAAAATAAAGAACTTGTGCTTAATGGCGTGTTCACATAAAAATTTGCGTTTTGCGGCAAAAATAGCATTCAAAAGAAGGAGAGACAGATCGCGTCTCCTCATTCCCAATGCTATTTTTGTCGCAAAATGCTTTCTACGTGAACGCGCCATAATTCTGAAATGCACACACAATAAAACCTACTTTTGAACAAATGAACCCTTTTGGACAAAAGTTTTTTGTGCTAATGCAGAAGGTACCATATTCCGAGGGAGAGCATTCCCAGCCCAGTTCTTCATCTATATATCCACAAGTCCTCTCTTTAGGACAATGATCAGTTCCATGTTTATCTTTAGTATTTCAATAAAATGAACATTAAATTTTGGCTCTTGTCCAGATTAAGCGTCCAATGAAAGGTTTATGAGACCAAACAAATGAACCTTTATGCGCCCAATCCACGTTAATATGTACCTGGTTCTGCGTGTTAGAACCTATGTTCTGGTCTTGTATGGGTGTATTATAACACTGGGTGAGTGGAGCTGTCTATTCCTACAGATTCTATTCTACAAGTTGAAGAACCGGGTACTTAGCGTCAGCGATCGCATAAAATTGATCTGACGCATAAACCTTTCATTGAACGCTTAAGTTTATGGACGTGATTAATTGCGCTAGGACGCATAAGCTAGACAAGAGCATAATTTTTAATAAAATAATTTTTCCAAGTCGAAGTTGACTAGAATATTTTAAATCAATTATTGGTCGGTATACAGTGGCGGAAATCTAGTTAAGAAAAAATATTTGTACTATTTTTGAAAATTATTTTTTCAACATTAATTTGGAATCTTTAATTTTATATAGTTTTGTAGCTCTATTTATAGGCTATCGAATGACCACCCATTTATTAAATAAAAGTTAATGATTAAGCCAGCAAAATTAATTTATCTAAGGAGGTTCTAAAATTGCGCGGAAATTTAGTTAAGAAAAATACACACTTTTATTTTCCATAGTTCCAACATTAGCTTATAAATAGAGCTACAAAACTATATAAAAGTAAAGATTCCAAATTAATGTTTGAAAAAATAATTTTCAAAAATAGTACAAATAATATTTTTTCTTAACTAAATTTCCGCCACTGTATTTACTACAGTCGGTCCTCATTGTATGTAATCATTTTTCAAACTATTTAAATATTTAGTTTATAAAAATGAATTTACGAATTCCGCAAACATTTCCATCTGGATAAGGATAGTGTTTTCTTGGCATTGCGTTGATACCTCTAAACATTATAGTTTTATCTTGAATGAATTTTTATATACCGTATTGTCTCTAATACAAGCCCTGGGCCTCTATTTTTCAATACCCCTCATTGGGTGGGCTTCTATTAGGGCATGGGCTTCTATTGGGGCATGGGCTTCTATTTTTCAACATCAAAATTTTATTATATCAGAAAAAATTTTACAAATTTCAACAAAAATTATATATCAAAATATATTGAATCTTCACTTAAAATACCGTTTTTCTCTTAGTGGTGAGGAGATTATCCCTATCTATCATCTTTGATCACCAATAAGTCTCCATTTTCACTAATATCCCTCTATATCAAACGTTTATTATGCTTAAAAAGACGAGTTATTAATCACATTAATACTAATAAATACATTTAAGTATAAATTAAATATCCTAAAAGTTTCAATGGGGACAGAACGGGGCAAACTGAAATGAAGTATACACAATATTACTCAAAATATTATTTACTCAATATTTCTCATATCCTACATGATAACAAATAATGCCTCCATATCCATCTTGATCCCTTTCAATCACTTGATATCAAGAATCAATATTAATTCAACCCCTCTTGAAGATTCTACCAAATTCCTTTATATCACTCTTACTTCCTTGATACCCAACGATATCCAACTCTCATTCATCCATTTATTCTAAGTATCTAAATCCATCTTAATACCTTCTTATTCCTCATAATCAATCATTCTTAATTCTACTTAATTCTTCCACAACTCCCAATATTCCATCCAAATCACTTTATATTCTTTTTCTTCCATTGGAACTTCGTTATCAATACTTTTAGTCGACTATAACATGGGAAATAAAAAATTGGCATTAAAAAAACAGATGGGCTTCTATTGGGGCATGGGCTTCTATTAGGGCATGGGCTTCTATTGGAGATGGGCTTCTATTGGAGACAATACGGTAATCTAGAAACCTTTCTCTCAAGACAGGACGAATATTCTGATGCTCTTCACTTTGTGAAATTCCAATTTCACTTAAAATTAATATAAATAAAGTGGCAATTAACAATATAACTCGATGTAAAAGCATAATTTATATTTTATTTTAATCTTTAGAAAATAAAAGAGAAAAATTGGTTAACACTTAGACAAATCTACAAAGTTTATTAGTCACTTTTGCTTTTTTCCTTTTATTTTTATAGCCACTCTTATAAACATTTGCAATTAAAGGCGTTATTTATAACAATGTGTAGCTAAATTCATTAGTCATCTGTTTTTATTTTTCAAAAAATTTTTCCATTAAATATACATATGTACTTTATACAATAGAATAGGCGAGAGAATTTATTTAAATAAATTAAAACATTTTCGGAAAATTATTAATTTCCTTACTGAAACTTATAAAAAATTATATATATCCTTCCGAAAATTATAATTTTGATTGGCCTAACAAAGGAGAGGCTGTGAGATGTCCATGGGACTTCGGGATTAAATTTGGTAGACTGATAGATCATACCCTACTTCTTGCGAAATTTTCACCATTTTCGCTGCGGGGTACCAAGGGCCGAGTTATAAGCCCCCAAAGTTTTAGGATCCCCCTCAGTTTCCTTTTCTACATATAAACAATTTATTTTTAGATACACGAGGGTCAGATAACTCAACCCGCAGCATAAATTTCTACCCTAAGTTCTGTGTTAAACAGTCTGTTAGGTTAACCCAAAACCCCGAGTAACCATTGGTAGAATAAATTATTTACTTGGGTCAAATAACCCTCAGCTAAGGGTCGGGGGCAGTGTAACAGGGTAAAAAGCTTTTTGAATGCTCTTTTCAGAAATATAACAAGCTTTCAAAATTTTGAAAAAATTTTATATTCAAATGAAAAATTATGATGGAAATTTTTTTTGAAAATCTGGGCCCGGATCCGGCATTTTCAAAACTTCTAACTAGAGTTGCACGTGGTACAGGTTTTGAAAAAACCGAGGCTGGAAGGGCCGAGATCGGGGTCGAGGGGGATTCATCAAATTTTTTAAAATTAATCCGGATTGGAAGGATATTAGAGGTCATTTACAATTCACCTCTGCAGTGAATTAATGTTTTATAGCCTATAGACCACCTTACAGAAACAAAAATAATTAAATTAGGTAATTAAAATAAATAAATATTTTAAATTAATTTTAATTAATATTTTTTATTAGCATTTAATAATCGATAATAAAGTCGATTTGACATATTTAATAAATAGATTTTAAATTGAAAAATCAATCCCACTCTAAGACCCCCCCAACTCTCCATCTATTTTTACCTTTAAAAATTTTAAATAAAATTATTTTTATTTAATTAACATTGTAAATCATATAGCTATTTAATTCCTAAGGCTGTGCAGTGAACGGCATGGTGTAATGGATAACACATCATTCCGGTCCACTGAAGATGCTGGTTCGCCTCAGCCGCCGAATAACCCTTTGCACTAGCTAAAGGGGGGGGGGGGGAATAGCGTATTTTCTCGATTAATTCGCTTGGTTTTCAACCCTTCCATGGCATGGGGAATTAATCGAGGGAGGGGAATTATTCGAGTTTTGGCATTTGAACGTGCAGTTGGGTACTGGGTAGGGAATTATTGTTTCTAATAGGGTTGGACAAAACCGTTTAGCTAAACGGTAAACGGTATACGATAAACGGGTTTTTTGCTAAAATTAAACGAAACGGTAAACGGGTCCGAGATAAACGGCCTCTGGTATGCCTTCAAATCCCCTCAATCATTTTAAATCCCATCACAACACCTTAATCCTAAGATATTCGATCCTGATCACCTTAATCCTCTGATCTCCTTTAATAATCATAGTCTACCGATATACCACCTCAATCCTCCGATATATATATTCAAATCCTTCAAATCTCCAAAACCACTGATATCACTCTCAATCTCCAGGCCCCATTAATCCTCTGATCTCTTCAGCTCTTTCTTTACCCTCTAAATCCATCGATATGATGGATTTATTGTTGAATTAAATTTTTATAAAGAGGGATGAACAAAATTAATGATTTTTCATTGATTTTTTTGAATTATGAATTGTTTTAAAAAAATTTTAAAAATAAACGGTAAACGGTCGTTTAAACGGGTTTTTAAAATTAAACGAAACGGTATACGGGTCTCAGATAAACGGCATAAACGGTATACGGTTTTTTCAAAATTAAACGGTTTTGTCCAACCCTAGTTTCTAACCAACTCTAGCTTGGGGAATTATTCGAGGGAGGGGATTAATCGAGGGGGAATTAATCGAGCAAGGGGGATTAATCAAGAAAATATAGTAGCTATAGCCCAGTTGCTTCACTACCAGGGATGCACGCAATTGAAAAAAATTTTCCGGGAACGCAATTCGCAACCCGCGATTTTAATTTTAAAATCCGAAAACCCTCCGAAATTCAAAAAATACTCAATTTTACGCAATCCGCAATCTGTAGATATAAAGGGTAATCTGGAGATATAAGTGGATTAGAGGGATTAAAGGTGGTTTAAGGGACATCGGAGATTTGGAGATACATCAATATTTAGGGAATTGATTAGTGAGCCTCTTAAATCCGCACCTATATCACTTTAAATACCATTAATCCCCAATATCCTAATTATCCCTTGATACCATATCCTGTCCAACTTCTTCGCTACATTATAATTTAAATTTAAAGACTAGAAATGTATTTAAATATTAAATTACTTTTAATTTTTCTTCTGAAAATTTTATTATTTTTCTGCAAAGCAGAATCTTCTACGGAACAAATTACTTGTGTAAACGATTATCTTTTAATTTCAAAAAATCTTAAAACAAAAATTTATGCCAAAAAAATAGGAAAGGAATGGAATGTTGAGAGGGGAATTTCTAAAAATATTATTTCCAAAAAAATTAAAAAAGATTTTAAAATAGAAAAAAAAGAAATGACAAAATTTATGGGGGAGGAATTTGCAGATAAATGCTTTGAATTAAATAGAGAATTGGTTAAAGAATATAATGAAGGGGATATTTTTAGTTTCAAGGATTTTTCAAAAAAATTTAAGAAAGAAAATTCTGAAAATTTTATTTTATCAGAGAATATTCAAGACGAATTTGGTAAATAAAAATAGGGATACTTGTGTTTATACGCCCCAAATTTCCTTTTCCCGCAAGTTGATCGGCTATAACTAGTGACCGGTAAAATAGATTTTCCCGGACCCGGATTTGCATCTAGAGCCGGACCGGATCCGGCCGAGCTTCTCATGATTAATCCGGTCCGGTTTTAATCCGGAAATTACGAAAAAACCCGGATTTGGGACCCTGACTCCGGAAAAACCGGCCGGATCCGGTCACTATCTATAACTTTTCTAAGCTTAATCCAATCGGAATGAATATACATACATATCAGGGCTGGGCGAAATCTAAAATCAAAAAGCGAAATGCGAAATGCGAAACTTTTCATGCTAAAAAATTCGAAAGATGCGAAACGCGAAAAATGCGAAATTAGTTAAAAATTCTAAAAATATCTTTTATATTCAAAATTTTAAATTACGAGATTGTGATGCAAAAATTAAAACATTTGTGCACTTTTTTGAAGAAGACTCTTCCTAGGATTGCTTATTTTAGTGCCCAGCGTCGGACCGTAACTCCGTTCAAAAAGTGAAAAGCGAAATGCGAAACTTCGCGCTAAAAATGTGGAAAATGCGAAGGATGTGAAAAGCGAAATTCGCCCAGCCCTGATACATATGTACTAATTTCAGGCATATATAAATTTAATTTTAAGAAAAAGTATCATTTTGTATGGCTGAGAAGATATACGAATACTTAGTTAAAAGAAAAAATAATTTATTAACAATTTTATCTCCTCCAGAACAAATAAGGAATGAGAAAGATGCTATTCTAGATAAATACAAAATACCTCTGGGAAATAAATTTTATGTAATGAAACTGAACTCGGAATTAAAAAATTGGCAAAATTGTGGGGGGTTAATAAAATGTGCGGAATTAATTAACGATAAAAGGTAAATAGACTTAAATTAAAAAATGCAGTTTTATTTCAAATCGAAACGAAATTTAATGGAATTTGAAACCTTTGGAAGAACCATTGGATCAGAGCGGGGTGTGAGAGAGAAGAACCTTCGGATCAGAGCAATCCCAGTATTCAGACCAGGGCTGCACGCAATTGCGAGTTGCGTTTGCGGATTGCGTTTGCGGACTTTTTAAAAAATATTTCGGGTTGCGGATTGCGAATTGTGGAATTTTTTCAATTGCGTGCAGCCCTGGTTCAGATGCGATTTTGTGAAAAAGTGTGGGAATGGGGTCCGGGGTCGGGGTACAACTAACTCTATCTCTATCATTAAAACTGCAAAGCTCCCAGGTCTGATTTTACATACCCCCATACTTGTCGCAAATTTTATTTATACGTATTATGCATTTACCATAAAAATAAAGTATGTGCTTATTTTTTAGATACTCTGGTGAATTTTTCTCAATGATTAATGTTGGCCAAATATTTTTTGATAAATCTCCTGTTAACGGTATAGTTATAATAAATTATAATACTCGACAGGCGATTTAAAAATTTTTTTTTAAATTTTCATTTCTTCAGGTGTCACGGATATTGAAATTGATGAAACACTTGAAGATAAAATATGCAATATTTGTCATGTTAATTTGATTGAAGAAGATCAAAAAATTTTACAAAAAACAGATTGCAATGTTTGTCTAAACTAGTTAAAAATCATATAGAATTTTAAATATATTTTAGCATATCTTTCATAAAGAATGCCTTCAAAAATGGTAATTAATTATTCTCTTAAAGAATTTTTAATGTCTTAGCTGACTCAAGTAATAACTTACTAGAGTAAAGCGGTTGGTCCCGTCCCCCAGTGCCTTGGTGTATTGTTGATGTTATTAGCTAAGTCGCGCATGCTGCAATCATGTGTGAACTCCGCAGAGTATAGAAAATAGGTGAATAGCTCGTAGTGGGGGGGGGGGGATAGGGATAGCTCTTCCCTATAAGACCGATGGATTGGCCGGCCGGCAACTCTGTTGAATGAATGAAGTGATCTGCCTTTGCCTATTCCATTAAAGCTTATAAGCACCAGCTTACTTCCTTAATGCCTTCTCAAGGATAAGTTTCTCTGGGAACCTCCACTACTTAGAGCGACGATTGCTCTTCACGTATTTTTAGGATGATCCTGGCCTTACACTAGATAGAATTTTACATTATAAAATAAATTGCAGGTTGAAAAAGAAGTCTGGTAAAGGTTGGTGGGGATTCTTTGGTGGAACTTGTTTGGTGGGAATTAAATTTTTTATTAAAATTAATAAATTAAGAAACATTATAAATGCTAAAATAATAAATTCTATGTATATTTTTGCGCAGGTAGAAGGAGGGTGCCCAACTTGTCGAGCAACGGTTTTATACAATCCGTGAGATGAAGAAATTATCACAACCAGTTTTAATTCATCGAAATTTTTTATATTTATTTTAAGTAATCATGTATATATTCATTTTATATCCAACATTTCGTGTTTTGGTAATAGTTCGGATGAGACCCCCCCCCTTTTTCCATCCTTAAAATATTAAAAAATGGCCAGTCTGTTATCAGATTATAGAACCCGTCGAGCTGTGTCGAATGACACCAAAAACAACCCCCGGTCTTAACTTTGGGCCGAGATACAGACACCCGAAAATTGAAAAATAACGGTAGACCAAGCTTATTTTTTGGGATAAAAATTTGATTAATCAAATAATAGCTCATTCGAAAGAGCTTGTCGAGCTGATTCGAATGACATCAAAATCAACATAATTGAACAAGATTTGACAAAGTTATGACATAAAGTAATCCTATTGTAGTCGTGAGACGCTTTTGCAAAACCTTTCTTTGCGGAGGTTTTTTGTCTGTATCTCGGCCCAAAGTTAAGACCAGGGGTTGAATTTGGGTCATTCGACACAGCTCGACGAGTTCTATAACTTAAGTCTGACTGACCATTTTTTAATACTTTTAGAAAGGAAAAAGGGGGGGGGGTCTCATCCGAACTATTACCCGTGTTTTTATCAAAAATTTTACTTTTTATTAAAATTAAAAGCTGCAAACCAATCATGTCTATAATTAATTAAAAAATGCGAATTGCGGATTGAGTGTTGCCGAATCTTTTTTCAATAGCATGCAGCCCTGCTCGTTACCCTGAAAACACGGGTAAAATAGGAGTAAAACTCTGCTTTTTATAGCTTTTTTTGCGACTGCCAGTTATTTACATTTACTTTTTTTTGGCAACTTTCAGAAATATTTGACTCAGTAAATTTGTTTTGTATTATTAAAATAGCAAGACAGCTTTTAGTAACTCAGGTTTGAAAATTACATAGTTGACATTACTTAATTAATTTAGATTATAAAATTTTATTAAAAATAGATATGTACATTTTAGAAATATAAAACTAAAAATTATTGTGGAAATATTCTTATACTTTTAAAAACAGCATTTCGATATGGTTTGTTTGTTAATATACAAATAATTGGGTTAAATACGGGAGTAAAATGAAACCAATGATAAATAATTAATTGAATAATATTCGACATATTGTTTGTGAAGATACAGTATGATAGTATTAAAATTGATGTAAGTTTTACGAATGGAACAACTGCCTAAATATTATTAAATTATTAGAAACGTTTTTAAAAAACCAGAATTAATTTAAAACATACCAGAATTAATTCAAAACATAGCAGAATTAATTCAAACATACCAGAATCAATTCAAAACATACCAGAATTAATTCAAAACATACCAGAATTAATTTAAAACATACCAGAATCAATTCAAAACATACCAGAATTAATTCAAAACATACCAGAATTAATTCAAAACATACCAGAATTAATTCAAAACATACCAGAATTAATTCAAAACATACCAGAATTAATTCAAAACATACCAGAATTAATTTAAAACATACCAGAATTTATTTAAAACATACCAGAATCAATTCAAAACATACCAGAATTAATTTAAAACATACCAGAATTATTAATGTTTTTGTTAATTGTTTAACGAAAATTTTCAAATTCTCATCAAGTGCATGTGAATTGACATATTTAACCATTTTAATTGAACAAAAACTTATTATAAAATATGGAGTAATGTCAATAAAATTTAATGGGAGAATTGCCAAAAGACCCATCTTTTATTAAAATTATTAAAGAAATTATTTTAAAAATACTGTATCCATTCGACATTGAAAGTATGGCATAGTTTTATTAAAATTATCATCGACAATTAGCTTAACACCTCCGCCAAAATATACCATATCGATGAAAATAGTAACCAATGCATAAATAAATTATTAAAGCAACCGAAAACATATATAAATATCGACGAACACCAATTTTCATGTTTCTGTTAAAATAAATGTTTATGTTAAAATTCAGAATTTTTTATTTTTAAGTATGAACAATAAAAAACGCTTAATAATAGAGGCGTTAGTGCCATAGCTAGATTATTCAATCATGATTCCTTCTCCCTTATATTTTATCCTTCTCCCTTATATTTTATTAAATATAGTTGTCAAAAATGACTACTCTTCTGGCTCAACGCCGACTAGCTCCATATGAAAATGGGTAAGATATAATATGGCGCTATTGTAAAAAATATCTCTGCCCAATTAATATATTTCCCCAACTTAAAAAATTTCGCATCTTCTAAAAATATTATAAAAATATTTTGTCCAAAATAGTAAAGCAGCCGGGCTATAGCTATTTCTCTCCGTTAGCTAGTTCAAAAGGTTAATCGGCGACTGGGAGCGAACCAGTATCTTAAGTAGACCGGACTGATGTGTTATCCATTACACCACGCCGCCAACTGCATAGCCTTATTAATTCAAATTATTATCGTCAATTACTTGTTTAAAATTAAATATCTATATATAAATTGAACACACAATCCGTTTGTACTTAGATTGTAAATAAATAGGTAAGAAACAAACAAATAATAGAAAAATAATGTGTTAAACTTTTCTTTCATGAAATAAATCAAAATTCCGTCAGTTATAATTGAAATTGCATGTCCATCCTTGTCAGTTACACCAAACTTAAAAAATTGTTTGATTTTTTCGAATTCCGGTTAAGCCCGTTAATTAGGGTTGCCAGCTCGCTCGAACCGAAACTCGAAAGATCGAGCGATTCGAGGCTTTTCAGCTCGAAAGACACGAAAACGAACCGAAAAAACCAAGCTCGAAAAATGCACCGAACGTCGGCTTGAACCGAAAACGGCAACCCTACCGATAATGTACATGTTCTAACATAGGACCTATCTTGAGAGGAGGGGGGGGGGTGGTTTTCGGTCCTTTTCCTTGGTACAGACTTTGGCTGAAACTCTGTAACAGCCAAATCCTGTATCCGAAACTCTGTATAGCTCCGGAAACTATGATTATGATTTATCAATATTTTTTTTCATGATAGTTGAATTCTATTTCCGTATTTCCTGAAATAGTACTCCCCTCTGAATTAGTCTCTCCTCTTAAATAATACTCCCTGTTTGAGGAGTGTTGGAGGAGGGTTGAAAAATAATACTCCCGGGCATACTATGTATTATAGGCAATACGGTATATATTAAGTTATTCTGATTTAATTCTGTTTTAGTTTTACCAATTGTGCCAACATTTGAAGTGTTAATAATAAAATATCCAAAACACAATTTTGTATCAGAATTCTGCTGTGTGTCTCCATTTCTTTTGGTGTTTTAAAAATAATTAAAATAATCAGAATAATGTTTAGAGGATAACCAAGTAATAAACTTCCCCAAAAATCCCAGATAAGGAAAATATCAGTTACAGCTGACATTTTTTATTTTTAAATTAATTTTTAAAAGTTATTTGTAAAATAAAGTAAAATAATTAAAAAAATTTTTTTTATAAAAATTTTCACACAAATAACCTTTAAAAATACAAAAAAATATATTTGAGAAAATTTTGTTTACATTTTCATTTTATTTTCAACAAATTACTGAGAAATTTAACAAAAAATGTGGGTTAAAATGTGGGTATTTTTTGTTATGCCAAAACTTTCCCATGCGTACTAATATTTAGTGGTGGAATTTCGTACCTTTTCGTACTTACAAAGGAGAGTGCCAAAGGTGTCTGTGGGACTTCGGGATGAAATTTAGTAGACAGATAGATATTACCCTACTTCTATTGCGAAATTCGCATCCCTGGTGCCCCGCAGCGAAAATGTTTAAATTTCGCAATAGAAGTATGGTATGATCTATCTTTCTACCAAATCTCATCCCGAAGTCCCAAGGACACCTCAGGCACTCTCCTTTGTTAGAGAGAGATCTCCTACTACTTTTAATTCCTCGTTAACTTCACCTTATCCTTTTAATCTCAAATTTATAACTTCAAAATTATCTTCTTTCCATTTAATTTAGCTAGGATTCTGCAAATTATCAAATATTAAAAAAATAGTAAAAAAATAGTAAAAAAATTATAAAAAAATTAAAAAAAATTATCAAATTAGCTAGGATTCGGCAAATAACGGCCACCTTTGTCTTCACAATAACATTTTCATTTTAAACAAAAATAAATAATTCTTTATTTTACTGGATTCCCGACACTTTGGGAAAATTGAAATTTTACCAACACTCTTTTAAATTATATGTGTTGGGTATGTGCTTAGTATAAAAGGCTGAGGCTTTAGCCAGTCTGGGAGAGAGTTACCGAGTTTAGTCTACAGTCAGTCTATAGTTAGTCGTTAGTCTATTCCGAGTGTCAGTCAGTCTTAGTCTTGTACTCCAGCAGTTAGTCGTATTCCTATTGTTCACCTTTATTGTATAGTATTGTAGATAAACGTTGTTAGTTAGTTAGTCTTTCTGTTAGTATCTCGGATACACCGTAAGTCGATACAAAACAATATGATTTACTATGAATAACCTTCTTTCAAGGTTCAAGCAAAAAATTTTGGATAAAAATTGCTGCGATTTTGATATGAGAAATTTATGACATCAAATTCAGACGGCTACCACATAAGTAAACCGAGATAAGGCACTCATAACGGTTTTGATATGTGTTCATCTTTCCTTTCTTCGCCCATTGAACTGGAGAAAAGTGGCTGGTAGGTGTTGGATATTGTTAGCTTTTTAGTAAAACAAACCAGAAGAATAGAAAAATATAAAAATTTATTGTAATTATTGTAAGATGAATCGAATATGTCAAATTTTTACTAAGTATACTAAACATAAACAGAAATTAAGAATGTAGACGAAAGTTGGTTAAAACATATGCAGAATAACCAGAAAGTTATTGCACACTATTCATTCCGTCATAACTTTTTTCATAATTTACATTTTTAAATATTTTTATACTCATTTTGTAGTTCAAACAATTCTACTTCAGGGCCTTTAAGCCCGGTTTCATTATTGAAATTTTCCAAGAGATTCAGTGTTCGCAAAATTTCATCTCCTCGCAAAATTTAAAAAAGCACTGCCAAAAAACTTTAAAAATTCCGTTAGGAAATTTTATGGGAAAATTTTTTCTAAAAAGTATTTAGGCTAGTGGCCATGACTGTTCTCTTTAGAAAAGTGCCAGAAACCGATCAGTAGACACGCCCTAGAACGTGAAAAGGGTCAAATTCCGAGTATACACCAAACCATGGATTTTGATGAGGTAAAGCGCGAAGGAAGCCTGTTTGGCCGAAGAAAAAAAATTGAGAAAATCAATACTATACCGCAATTTAAAAAATTTCTAGACAAAATATTAACTACAGAAAATAATAATTTATGAGTAATGAATTAATGGAGTGTATTAACAAAAAAATCCTAACCTAAGTGTTCACTTTCTTACCTAAACATATTTACCTTAAATTAAAAGAAATTATTTTTAATACAAATATTTTTTTACCTAAATATACATATATTTTTTTACTATACATTTACTTTTATACATTTACCGTATTTACTCTAGTAATCCCCCAGGGGGATTATTGTTTCAACCCATCTCTAGGGTGGGGGATTAATAGAGCCTGGGGGATTATTAGAGTGGGGTAGAAAGAGGGGGATTATTGTTTCAACCCATCTCCAGGGTGGGGGATTAATAGAGCCTGGGGGATTAATAAAGGACTGGGGGATTATTAGAGTAAATACGGTAATTTAAACCTACATTTATATTTTTTCTGTGGAGTCCATTTATTTATTTATATTTTTTAAAAACTTAACATTTTTTTAAACCGTCCTATTGTATTTGCATTTTTTTTGTATGTTACCTCTCCATAAGTGATCCCTGTGGATCCAGGAGTTTTATTTTATTGTTTCACATTTTTTTTTATTTGTGTTCGATAAAGAAAATTAAAAAAAATGAACTATCATATAATCTTTATTTGATCTCATTATCTTTAAAATAAATAAAGTTCTGTTTACTGATCACACTGTAACATATAAATCTAAAAACAGAAGTTGTTTTATTATACAGTAGCTTTTATAATAAAACAGTAATGGGTGATATCAATACACATAAATATTTAAATTTATGATTTTTTAGCATAGTAAACTAATTTAAAGCATAACATTTATTAAATGTAAATTTACCAAAATTATAATAGTTCAAATTTATTGTGGATGTATTCTTATACTTTTAAGAACAGCATTTCGATATGGTTTGTTGGTTAATATACAAACAATTGAGTTAAATACAGGGGTAAAATGGAACCAAAGAAAAATAATTAATCGGATAATGTTTGCCGCGTCGTTACTTGTGTATGTGGAGGAAAATACTAGAAGTATTAATATTGTTGCATGTTTAACGAATGGAACAACAGCCTAAATATCATAAAAATTTTTAAGACAAGTTTTAAAAATCACAATTAATTTAAAACTGTCTCCGTTCACTTCTGCTTCTCACTGTGCGAACCGTGTTAAGGTCCAGTCTTCCGTTCTGTTGCTAGTGCCCACTCACTAGCTGGTGCCAAGATTCTTAATAGGGTTGCCAGCTCGCTCGAACTGAAACTCAAAGATCGAGAGAGCCAAGGCTTTTCAGCTCGTAGATCTCGAAAACGAATCGAATCGAAAAAAACTAAGCTCGAAAAAATGCACCGAACGTCGGCTCGAATCGAAATCGGCAACCCTACTCATCAACAACCAACTTCATTTTTTGTGAGGATAAGGAAGCCGTCCCAACCCTCCCCCTTCCTCTACAAACATACCAGAATTATCAATGTTTTTGTTAATTGTTTAACCAATGTTTTCATATTTTCATCAAGTCCAGCATGTGAATTAACGTATTTAACCATTTTAATTGCACAAATAGGTATTATAAAATATGGAATGATCTCAACAAAGGCTAATGGGAGCATCGCAAAAACTCTCATCTTTTAATTAAACATTATTAAAAAAAATTTTTTAATTACATTTTCCATTACACATTGAAAGTATGGTAAAGTTTTGTTAAACTCAGCAAATAGCTGAACACCTCCAGAAGAATATGGCATTGTGAAAAAACTACAATCGAATATATAAATTGAAATTATTATTAGCGCAACCAAAAACATATATAAATAGTGACTGAAGCCAAGTTTCATGTTTCTGTTAAAAAATGTACTGTTTAGAAAAATTCTGATTTTGTTTTAAATTAATTCTGATTTTGTTTTAAATTAATTCTGATTTTGTTTTAAATTAATTCTGATTTTGTTTTAAATTAATTCTGATTTTGTTTTAAATTAATTCTGATTTTGTTTTAAATTAATTCTGATTTTGTTTTAAATTAATTCTGATTTTGTTTTAAATTAATTCTGATTTTGTTTTAAATTAATTCTGATTTTGTTTTAAATTAATTCTGATTTTGTTTTAAATTAATTCTGATTTTGTTTTAAATTAATTCTGATTTTGTTTTAAATTAATTCTGATTTTGTTTTAAATTAATTCTGATTTTGTTTTAAATTAATTCTGATTTTGTTTTAAATTAATTCTGATTTTGTTTTAAATTAATTCTGATTTTGTTTTAAATTAATTCTGATTTTGTTTTAAATTAATTCTGATTTTGTTTTAAATTAATTCTGATTTTGTTTTAAATTAATTCTGATTTTGTTTTAAATTAATTCTGATTTTGTTTTAAATTAATTCTGATTTTGTTTTAAATTAATTCTGATTTTGTTTTAAATTAATTCTGATTTTGTTTTAAATTAATTCTGATTTTGTTTTAAATTAATTCTGATTTTGTTTTAAATTAATTCTGATTTTGTTTTAAATTAATTCTGATTTTGTTTTAAATTAATTCTGATTTTGTTTTAAATTAATTCTGATTTTGTTTTAAATTAATTCTGATTTTGTTTTAAATTAATTCTGATTTTGTTTTAAATTAATTCTGATTTTGTTTTAAATTAATTCTGATTTTGTTTTAAATTAATTCTGATTTTGTTTTAAATTAATTCTGATTTTGTTTTAAATTAATTCTGATTTTGTTTTAAATTAATTCTGATTTTGTTTTAAATTAATTCTGATTTTGTTTTAAATTAATTCTGATTTTGTTTTAAATTAATTCTGATTTTGTTTTAAATTAATTCTGATTTTGTTTTAAATTAATTCTGATTTTGTTTTAAATTAATTCTGATTTTGTTTTAAATTAATTCTGATTTTGTTTTAAATTAATTCTGATTTTGTTTTAAATTAATTCTGATTTTTTATTTGTTTTACCTGTTCAATACTAAATATCTATATATAAATTGAACACATAATCCGCTGGTACTTAAATTGACCATAAATTGCCATGTAATAAAAATACAATAGAAAAATAATGGATTAAACTTTTCTTTCATAAAATAAATCAAAATCCCGTCAGTGATAATATAAATTGTATTTCCTTTATTGTCGGTTATATAAAACTTAAAAATATAGTTAAAATTTGTTTTTATTAAATTCTGGTTTAAAACCTAGTCGAGTCGAATGGTATGGGTCTTATATAGAAACCTTACCACCGGTATACTTTACTATATCCAAAGCTTATATGTATGATAGATAACTAAATAAGAAACATATCTTATCAAAAATTCTCGAAGTACCCATACTTAGCTTGGATGCAGAGTAAAATGCGCGCGGAAAAATTTTGGATTTTGCATCTCTTCGGGTGAAACCCCGGTGAGTACTGTAGCCATATTTGAAGTGCCCATATCAGTTATGTCACCCTATAGTATTTTTCGATTTCTTTCCGGAAAGTGTTTCTTTTCTTCATTAGATTTCTTTCCATTAATTATTAGTTTTATTTCCGGGAATTGAAATTCTGAATAAATTATTCTGATTAAATTCTGTTAAAGATTTTACCACTTGTGCGAACATTTGAAGTGTTAATAATAAAATATCCAAAACACAATTTTGTATCAGAATTCTGCTGTGTGTTTCCATTTCTTTTGGTGTTTTAAAAATAATTAAAATAATCAGAATAATGTTTAGAGGATAACCAAGTAATAAACTTCCCCAAAAATCCCATCCAAGGAAAATATCAGTTAAAGCTGCCATTTTTTATTTTTGAATTAATTTTTAATTGTAGAACAAAGTAAATTACTTTGAAAATTTTTTATTAAAATTTATTAAAAATTTTAAGAAATTTCAAAAAATATTGCCACCTGCCTATTATGTATCTCCACGCACTTAACTAACTAATAATTTATGAAATTTATTAATTAATAGATAGTCTCTACTTAAAGTATACCAACTCTTGTGATTTCTTGTATATCTTTCTATACATTTGCATAATTGGTGAGAGGGAATAGGTTTGTCGGTTCTTGAAAAATCTTCGGATATCCGGAACCGAACTGAAAATTTTTTAGATGGTTAGGAGTTAATAAGGAGTAAGCGGTGGGGTACAAGTGAATTTGTTGGATATTAGAGTTATTTGTCGGATGTATACAAGGCATATTTTAAAATATTTTGATACCTCCAGATTCCATGATAATATCCATAACCCCCGCTATTTCGTTAAACCCCCTTAATCCATCTAAATCCTCCTATATATTTAGTAATCCCCTTGTATGCTCGATATTACCACCGATAACCCATTATCCGGTCCCTAAAATGGGTTAGTTCCAGAGTAAATCTTAGTTTGGGAAAAGCTAAATATTAATTAACACAAATCCTCTTAATCCACCCTAATCCCAAAACGAAGATCCACCAAAATTTCACTTTTATTCTAGGGAAATGCTTTAGAAGCGTGTTACGGCCTTCATATATCCAAAATATAGGATATAAAATAAATGATGAAATGTAGCGTATGTCTGAAATCCCTTGATATTCCGATTTTGGAAGACATTCACCAGATTTCTTACTTCTTCAACGCCGTAGGCGAAAATTTTTAGAATTTTGGAAGAGTACTAAGCAAAAATCTTCCTTCTTCAATCGAAGAAGGAATCGTTTAGGTTCGGCCCAGAACCGACAACCCTAAGAGGAATAATTATTTCAAAGAATGCGACCAAGGATAAAAAATTTACTGATCATTAAAAAATTTAAAAAATCAACAAGTATCATAACAGTGGCACGGCTTAATAATCAGAATAATGTTTAGCGGATAACCAAGTAAAAAACTTGTCCACAGTCTTATTTAAATTAAATCTCAATTAAATCTGCCATTTTTTAAAAATAATTTTTAAAGTTAGTATATTGTAAAATAAAGTAAATTAATTAAAAAAATTTTTTATTAAAAATTTTCACACAAATAACTTTAAAAATACAAAAAAATATTTTTGAGAAAGTTTTGTTTATATTTTCATTTTAATTTCAACAAATAACTGGGAAATTTTACAGAAAATGTGGGTACTTTCGTGTTATCCAAAATTTTCCCATAAGCACTCATATTTAGTGATCTGAATTTCGTACCTTACCGTACTCATATGTATTATCTAAAATTTATAACTTAAAAGTATCTAGTTTTCACAACTATGTTGGGAAAGGCGGAGGCTTTATCCATTCGCAAAGGTCAAGATAGAACCTGAGTATAAGTGAATAATGTTAGTCGAGTCGAGCATATTCAGCGTAAACATTTCGGAAATTTAAGTCATCCAGGGCAACTAAAAAGCCAATTTAAGATTCACGTCAGTGTTACAATTGTGGCATGATTAGACATATTAGTCAAAACTGCAGGAAACTAAAGAAATGGTTGAGTCAATGCAAAAGTCTAAAAGTTACTCATGTAAAGCCGCTTCTGGTTAAAAACAAAATTACCGTATGCCTGTATTAATTGCCCTCCCTCAAATAATTACCCCACTTCCATTAATTACCCCATCCAGCGATAGATTGAAACAATAATTACCCCCAAACAAATGCCCTAAAATACGTTCAAATTTCAAACCTCGTATACTTACCCTCCTTCAATTAATTATTCCCTCCAGCGGAAGGTCGAAAAAATAATTATCCAGGGTAGTTATTAAAGGATATACGGTATCTATAATTTGTGTTTTATACTTTATAAGACTACATAATTTGTATCCCATTTTTGTGCAAGTTTTGCTAATTAATTTTTAATTCTGTTCTATAATTAACCAAAATTTTTAAAATTTATAAAGAATAATTGACAAATTTATTTTAAATATTAAAAAAAATTTTTTTTTCCCAAAATTAGTTTTAATTTAATTAGATATCTCTCTAGTTTTTCTCATTATAATATGTTTAATAAACTACGGCAAATTAAATTTTTTTAGCAGCTGGCGGATATGCTTACTTAATAATTTTATTTTAAAGCATATGATTTTAATAAAAAAATTTTTTTCTAAAATACAGGTGAATTTTTCTTGTCATTAAGTAATTTTTGAATAATAAAAAAGCCTTTTACCTTAACCTTTT